TTACAGTTTTGATTGATCCAATGGCCCTGATGGTCTCAAATAACACTTCAGATCAGGGGCAGTAACTGTGCTGTCCTGCATGAACTGTAACATCACCACCTCTTGACTGCTGGCTATGCTAAATGGAGCTGATGTGTGTTTGAGCCCAGCAAAATAAATTTGGCAGGGGCACTGCATTCACTACCCCTGCTCTAGGCAATCTGGAAAACAAAGGGTCCCTATGTGTTAGTTAGTTAGTTAGTTAGTTAGTTAGTTATTAAATTTAACAAGGACAAGGAAAAGAAGAAAATATGAAGTAAAATGCACTCGTTTCACCAGTGCAAAGATTTCTGTTTGTGCAACACAACTCCCCCCCCCTTCTCGGTCAGTTTGCATTTCTTAGTACAGAAACTATTGATCTTTCCTATTCTAATTAATTCAAGTGGTCTCTGGAAGCTTCCCTGTGCGAAAGAAACAAGCAGAAGGTTCATGATGTTTTGGTGATTCCTTCAGACAGTGCTTTTTTCGAGGGGGGGAGGGGTACGGATACCCCTAAATATTTTGTGAATCTCAGTTTGGCCTCATTGAGGGGAAGTGTTTCAATATGAGTAGGAAAATGAGAGTACCCCTAAACATTTTTTTTTTAAAAAAAGCACTGCCTTCAGAGAAACTGAGCACAGCTGGCTTAAATTGGTTCTGTTATCTCTTCTGTCAAGGTCATGCTGACTATAAGAGTAAGGCCAGAAGGAGCCCGAGTTTCACTTTCTCTTTCTAACTCTCTTCTTCTGGTGTGGTGTTCTGCATATAGCGTTAAGGTTTAGACTTATTACCGTGGTACCTCTAGTTGAGGACACGATCCATTCTGGGGTGCCATTCGCACCCCAAAAAGTCCGCAACTAGAGCGGTGCTTCTGTGCATGTGTGAAGCGCGCAGAACGCTTCTGCGCGCACATGCGCGGTGAAACCTGGAAGTATACACTTCTGGGTTTGCTGCGTTCACAAGCCGAGAAGACGTAACATGAACCTAACGCAGCACGAGGTATAACTGTATAAGTTATTGTAAGTTCAGTGGCACCTCGCAAGACGAATGCCTCGCAAGACGGAAAACTCGCAAGACGAAAGGGTTTTTGGTTTTTTGAGCTGCTTCGCAAGACGATTTTCCCTATGGGCTTGCTTCGCAAGACGGAAACGTCTTGCAAGTTTGTTTCCTTTTTCTTAAAACCGTTAATACAGTTGCAACTTGACTTCGAGGAGCAACTCATAGCACGCGGTGTGGTAGCCTTTTTTGAGGTTTTTGAAGACTTTGGTGATTTTTGAAGCTTTTCCAAAACTTTTCCGACACCGTGCTTCACAAGACGAAAAAATCACAAGATGACAAAACTCGCGGAACAAATTAATTTCGTCTTGCGAGGCACCACTGTTTAAGTTAAGTCTGCTGCAACTGGATTTCTTATGGACGGTGCCAATCCTGAATGTATTGGATTTGCAACCATTATGCTCATTTGTCTTCAGTAGCAGTAAAGCTCTGCTGGATGAACTATTAATTGCCTCTGGTTTATTTTTGGGGAATCCTGCAATGTGTTTAAGTTTTTACTCTGCTAACTATATGTTGGAGTTCTGCTCTGGATCAATATTGCATAGATTTTCTATGACATTCTCTTCATGAGTGTGCTCTGCACATTCCCCAAATGTGCTCTGGAGCATTGGGGAACTCCCAGAACAGATTTAGAGGGCACACAGGCCGTCCTGTGGGGAGGGGAAGGGGGAAGTTCCATTGCACAGCTAAAAGTCCTTGTGCTGAAGGAACAAGCACACTGAATAACAATGCCCTCTGTATTTCGGATTGGCTATTAGTTATTATGGTCCCCATATGTTAGTGCTAGTTTATGCTGATGTTTTAAGACATATATAATCCTTATCTTTTGTGCTGCTAAAAAGGGGGGGCAGTATTGTTGGTTTCTTTTTGTATTTGTGATATTTTAAGACACTGTAAACCAATTAGCACTTATTATTAGTCTTGAAATATGAAGCAGTACATAATGAAATAACCCTCTATGCTCACCTGCTGCAGTGACCTCTGGGTGCCTGCGCAGCATGTGGGCTTGAAGAAAGGAGTAGTTCATGAAGGTCTTGTCACAGAATTGGCACTGGAGAAAGACAAAGAAAGGGACGGATAGGTCACATGCTGGCCTGGTTCACACATCAAGGTAAGCCAGAGTGTGGCTCATCATGACCGCATGAATGTGTTGGCTCCTGGCTAGGAACTCACACTGCTCTCCCTCCCGCTTTTAAGTTAGCCTGGGAGGACACCTAAGCCAAAGTTTGGCTTAGCCTGTCACTCAGACCAGGGATCAGGGTGAAGATGCCTCCTTCATGACCATGACCTGCAACTGCAGGACAAACTTTGGCAACAGGTCAAGGAGAAGAAACCTGAATCACGATTCTGGATTTAGACCACATGTTAAGCCAAACAAACCAGGACCACATTCATACCACACATTGAAAGCACTATGACACCTCTTTAAACATTCATGGCTTCCCCCAAAGAATTCAAAATGCTGTGGTTTACTAGGGGTGCAGAGAGTTGTTAGGAGATCCCTATTCCCCACACAATTCCCAGAGAGCCTTGGGAAGAGGGATTGACTGTAAAATCACCCTGAGAAACAGAAAACCATGGAGGTGAAATAGGGGTTCCCCAACAACTCTCAGCACCTTAACAAATGACAGCTCCCAGAATTCTTTGGGGGAAGCCATGACTCTTTAAAGTGGTATCGTGGTGCTTTAAAAGCATGGTGTGAGTTTGGCCTATGTGTCCATGAGTGTCCTTCTTTACAACCCTGACAGCTATCATATAGACCAGGGTTAGGCAACCTAAGGCCCAGGGGCCGGATGTGGCCCAATCGCCTTCTCAAACTGGCCCACGGATGGTCCAGGATTCAGCATGTTTTTACATGAGTAGAATGTGTCCTTTTATTTAAAATGCATCTCTGGGTTATTTGTGGGGCATAGGAATTGGTTTATTTTTTTTCTTCAAAATATAGTCCCCCCCCCCACAAGGTCTGAGGGACGGTGGACCAGCCCACGGCTGAAAAAGGTTGCTGACCCCTGACATAGACCTAAAAAGCCAGAGGAGGAGCAAAGCATTCCACTAGGCCAACTCCAAGCTTAATGCAGGACCAGATGCTCAAACTAAATCTGAATCATGGGCTGTTTGTGAATGGCTGCTGAAGTACTAACACCCAGACAGCTGTAACCTCCCCCCCACCTAATGTTTGCTAATCTATCTTTGCTTCTGCAACCACAATCAGGCAGATGAGCTGGAAGAAAAACAAAGATCATTCACATTTCCTTGACAGGCCGCTGACTGAAAATCCACAGTGCATAATGCAGCTCCGTATGCTCCAGCTGTCCCTATTTACCAAGGACAGTCCTCAGAAAACAGAAGGTATTTAAGCAGAAACTGTCAGGGATGCTATAGTTGCATCCTGCATTGTAAATCCTGAACTGAACAGAGGGGTTGGACGAGATGACCTGTGGTACAACAGTGCTCAGGCGATCTCTCCCAATCCTCCACTGTGTTTGCGGGCACAGAAACTTGCAGGCTCATTTCACCAAATTTCTCCAGTATCTCCAGTACCTTATCTCCACCCACCACCTACAAAGTTTCCCCTTCTCCTTTTGCTGCCACTGCAAATGTTAGCAGCAGCAGCAGCAGCAGCAGCATTGGCAGAATGGGCACCATTTTACATCCTCATCAGTCCCCTGGATCTAACATCATCCTGGAGCATTGCAGGGCTAAGGGTGGCCGCCAGAACAAAACAGAGGAGAATATCTGGAGAAAATTCTGCTGGGGAAATTTTTTTAATTAAAACTAAATCAGGCTGAGGGGATGTCAAAAAGAAAGATCTCAGGCATTTTTTCTCAGGGAAATGCCATCTGAGAAGTTTGGGCTCAGCTCCACCTTCAAGGTCTTTTCCTACTTTCCACTCAATGCACCCACCCAAACAGCAAATAGGTGAAAGCTACCACCGGCAGTATCCCTGCTGGGAGCAGTCTGTGCATCCTCATGGAGGAGAACATTCTGGGAGAGAGGAGGGGGTAGAGGCGGCCCTGTTGCTGTCAACTGACGGGAATTGGCCCAGTCTGGGCCCATTTGCTGCCCTAGTCTGGGAACTGGTATAGCAAAAGTGCATTTTTGCCCCACCACCTACCCTTGCTGGCATGAGCAGCAGTGTTGCTGATGCAGTGGTGGCTGTGCCACTGTTATAATCAGCCACTGCTGGTGTGACACATGGCTTGTTCTGCCCATGTGCATATATAGGCACACAGAAAAGTCCACTAGCTTCCCTTCCATCCTACCAATAGCTGTCTATCCCAATAAGACACGTATGTTCAAATACTTCCTACAACATGCCATTATGGTTAGGATGTGGCGGGGAGCAGGGGGAGGCCTACTCCAGCAATGATCCTTACTGTGAGAGCAAGGCTGTCCTAAGTACCCATGTGTGTCCCTATTTACAACTAGGGCTGGGCGATATACTGGTAAATTGTATGAAACTGGTATGGTGTTCTGATTGCAATACCAGTTTCAGACATTTTGAGAGGGGGTTTCATTATGCTGGCCAGGGAGCCATGATGTATTCCCAACTCAGATTGCCTGCAGACAGCAAAGGCACAGACAGACAGGCAGACAGAGCCCAAAAGGGTTCTGGGCAAGCACTTTCTATACCTCCATCTGCCTGTGCCTTTGAGGAGGCCCGCTTCTCTGGCTCACATGAGCCAGAGCAGTATGGGGGCTAGTTCAGCTGGAGGCAGGAGGCTTCCTGCCCCCAGCTGAGCAGTTTAATGAAGCCCCTGCCCCTCTGGCTCACATAAGCCACAGAAGTATTGGGGTTTGCTCCCATCATTCAGCCCGGACACTGAGGTCCAGCTCTGAGGGCCTTCTGGAGGTTCCCTCATTAAAAGAAGTGAAGCTACAGGGAACCAGGCAGAGGGCCTTCTCAGTAGTGGTGTCCACTCTGTGGAACACCCTCCCATTGGATGCCAAGGAAATAAACAACTATCTGACTTTTAGAAGACATCTGAGGGCCTCCCTGTTTAGGGAAGTTGTTAATGTTTGATGTTTTATTGTGTTTTTAATATTCTGTTGGGAGCTGCCCAGAGTGGCTGGGGAAACCCAGCCAGATTTGGGGGGGGGTATAAATAAATTGTTGTTGTTGTTGTTGTTAGGACTGGGTGATGGGAGGAAGAAGCATCCGAGTTACATTCCAGACATCATGATATATCAGCATATCATGGTATTTAGCTGCTGATATACCACAATGTTGAATACTAGATATCGGCTAGCCCTGTTTACAATTATGAAAGCTGCACAGAAAGCATGCAGCCATATCACTCACCTTGTGGTAGTTATTGGCCCCAGCTTGCAAGAGCAATTGCTGCGTGGCAATCATCTTTTTACGCCTCCTGCTCTCTTCCTTGACACCCTTCAGCTCTTCTGCTTGCTTATCCCAGTCCTCCTTGACGCGTTTGAGGTCTTCCAGGGTCGCTTGGTGTTGCTCTTCCTGAAGGGCCAGGCTCATGCTCAAGTACTCCTGAGAGTGCAGCAGGTACTCGATGGTCAGCTGGGCCATCTTGAAGACCTTCAAGAGCACAGGGTCAACTGGCTGCTGACAGTAGGGGCACTTTTCTGCATCGAGGTTGCAAAAGGTGACGCTGTTGATGTTCTCCTGCAGAGTGGCAAGGTCCAGCTCGCGAGCCACCCGCTCCACATCGATGGCGCTGAACCGCCTCCAGTCAATCGCGTCTCGCCGCAACTGGAATTTAAAGGCGGGGACCAGGCTCGGACCGGCGAGCATGCTGCCCAAGAGATGGCTGCTGCTTGGGAAGTTCACAGGAAATAATGTGGAGCCTGGCATACCTGTCCAATAATGACGGTGTGCAGACAGTTGTGGTGGGTAGTAAATATTAGCAGCGAAAGGCTGGGCAATGGAAAGGATACAAGATGAATTAGGGCTGGAACAAAATGGGAGCTGATATAGAGTACACCTGTGTACTTGAAGCAGACCCAAACATGTACGAATGTAAGAAGAGCCTGCTGAATCCGGCTAATGGCCCATCTAGTTCACATCCTATTCTCAGTAGCCAAGCAGATCCCCATGGGAATCTCTCAAGCAGGACCTGAACACAAGAACCCTCTTCGCTCCTTTGGTTCCCAGCAATAGCTATCCAGAAGCATTACTGCTTCTGACCCTGGAGGCAGAGCACAGCCATCATGGCTGATAGCGACTGGTAGTCTATGTCTAATGCTCTTTTAAAGCCATTCTAGTTGGTCGCCATCACTGCCTCCTGATGGAGGGAGTTCCATAGTTTAACTATGTTCTGCATAAATAAGTTCTTCCTTTTATCCATCCCAAATTATCCAACATCCTGATTCATTGGAGATTTGTGAGTTCTAGCATTATGCTAGAAGGGAAAACGACCTTTTCGCTATCCACTTTCTCCATGCTATTGATTTCTATCATGTCACCTCTTCCCTGCCCTTCATCTAGACCAGCGGTTCTCAACCTGTGGGTCCCCAGATGTTGTTGGACTACAACTCCCATTATCCCTAGCTAGCAAGGCCAGAGCTCAGGGATGATGGGAGTTGTAGTCCAACAACATCTGGGGACCCACAGGTTGAGAACCGCTGGTCTAGACTAAAAAGTCCCAAAATGGGGCAACCTTTCCTGATAGCAAAGCTGCTCCATCCTCTTGATCATTTTGGCTGCCCTTTTCTGTGTAGCCTGCAAAACTGATTTCCTTTTATATTATTCTATTCAATCCTCGGGCACATGGGAGAACTCAGTCGGTGGAGCAGGAGACCCTGAATCTCAGGGTCATGGATTCAAGCTCCATGTTGGACAAAAGATTCCTGTATTGGGGGTTGGGCTAGATGACCCTCATGGTGCCCTCCAACTCTACAATTCTATGTTTCTATATCACTTTACTTATTACCATTCTAGATCGTTAAACAACTACAGATTAGAAACAACTACTAAGGTTTCAAATAATGAAGAAAATAGCAAGATGAATAGGTGAGCAAATCAAGGTGACTGCTGTTTCTAGCTGAAATGTTTGATTCATTCGCTATTAAATTCAACGTTGGCTCTCAATATAGGCTTATCAAGAATACAGGCAAGGGTTCCAGCTTCCATATAAAAAACACTCCTGTACTTATGTACTCAAACAACTATAATTTGAGTTGTGTTGATTCCTACTCAAATAGAAAATGCACGAGAGTCACTGAGCTTTCAGCTTTGAGGACTGAAAAAATGAGGACATCTAATATGGTACTCTTATTATAACAATTTGCTTTCAACATTTAATTGCCACAATTACAAAACCGCTTACAATGTAATCCTAGACATGCTTATTCAAAAGAAAGTTCTATTATGCTCAATGGGATTTACTTCCAGGAATGTGTGCATAGGATAGTAGCCTCTAGGGGAAAGTACTGTAAAATGATACATACCATTTTTTCCAGTATAGAAATGCTGTTCTGATCTATCTGGACCCCTTGCTTATTCACAACAGACAGTTGTGTTGTGCAACGGTGTGTTACTAGGTGTGTCCTGGCATGATGGTAACAGGACTCCAAAGTTTCCCTCACAGTAGCACAAATATACCATAGCTAAGCAGCACACTCCAAGTGGTTAAATATTCATTCTTGGCTTTGTATGTATTTGTTTGCAGCTCCAGTATGAGCAAACAAGGATCACAATGAACAACTAGGTGATAACATGTGTTCTCATCTGCCAGCAAAGCTGCTCTGCATTCTACACAGGACAAACAGGCCAGTCTAAATATGAAAGACTAAATGGACACCAATCTGACATCTAAAGTGGCAATATTCAAAAACCAGTGGTGGGACAGTTCAACCTACCAGAATGCTCTGTAAATTACCTTAAAGTAGCCATCCTGCAGCAAGGGAAATTCAAAGGGAGATTGCAATATGAAACCACTGAATTGAATGAAAGGGTTCGATGCTATCACTTGTGGGCTGAACCGAGACAAAGGACATTTGGCATATTAGCGATGTTAACTGCTTTACAAAGCATGGTGCCTGTGCCGTCAATAACTATTTGTGAAGTCCCACTGTTAAATATGGAATTATTACTCTCTGTACTTTTCCGCTTTTCATTTCCCTCAGACTTCACTTTTAACAGTTTCCCTCTACCTGCCCCACCCCCCATACCAAAACCTCAGGATAACACTTCATACATCTGATGAAGTGGAATGTAGTTCACAAAAAGCAAGTGGCATAATAAATGTGTTAGTCTTTTAGGTGCCATACGACTCTTGGGGCGTGTACAGCCTGCATAATAATGTGCATTCAGTGCTGGATGCAAGTGCCTTTTAGGGGTGCTGTACACACAATGTCCTCCCCATGCTGCCCCAGTGTCCCACACTATCTGCTTTGTGCTGGGAGTGCACTTCTCAAGTACTTGCTGTTTACCTGCGCACAGAGAGAGCGCTTTCTCAGGTCCCCTCCTGTTGGGGCAGACCTACTGATGTTGCAGGGCTGTTATCACTCCCCTCACCATGTTTAACTTGCCTATGAATGAAAGGGGCAAAATGTACAGGTTGATGTAATCTTCAACCAGGCCCTTGGCTGATTAACATTCTAAAGCCTTTTAAATGTGTGTGTGGGAGGAGGGGGTTGTTGTTTTGTTGTTTCTGTTTTAACTATTTATTTGTGCTTTTATCTTGTATTTCTATGTTGTGAACAACCTTGAGATCTTTTGAGTGGTATAAAAATCTAATAAATATTAATAGACAAATAAATTTTCTTGCAGCTGCTGAAGTCCCAGGGGCCCTGTCAGAAGCAAGGCGGAAGGCCACATTGTAAAGCATCATTGGTGGTGCTTAAACAGAATTACAGGAAGCTGCTTAAACAGAATTACAGGAATCTGCCTTATGCTGTCAGACTATCAGTCCATCTCACTCAGTATTGTCCGCATGAGTGTTTCTCAATCTTCAGTTCCCCATAAGTTGTTGGGTTACGGCTCCCATCGTCCCTGATTAAAAGGGCTGAGGGTCTCCAGTTGTTTTTGGACTACAATTCCCATCTTCCTTAGCTAGCAGGACCAGTGGTCGGGGATGATGGGAATTGTCGTTCAAAAACAGCTGGAGATCCAAGTTTGGGAAACACTGGTCTACACAGATTGGCGTGGGTTTCAGACAAGGGTCTTTCTTAGCCTTTCCTGGAGATGGCAAAGATTGAACCTTCGGCTTTCTGGATGCAGTGCAGATGCCCTAACACTGAGTTTCTGCCCTCCCCCTACCTTTTCTCTCACACCATAGAAGAGAATGGCCTAAGTAACATGCCTCTCTTGACAACCCTCGACAACCTCTCTGGAAAACTGCTCCAAGTGCTAAGAAGCCCCAATGCCTCCGAAGAGAAGGGTGCACCGGGCCTTGCTGGCCGCGGAATGTCGAACTCCCCTCTCCCCCCCGCAAATTTTGGCTAGCAATTTCTACTCAGGCAGTTTCAAAACTGAACAAGGAGCGATGCCTTTTCTTCTCCTCCTCCTCTCCTCTCCTCTCCTCTCCTCTCCTTTTTTTTTTTTTTTTTTGGTGGCAGGCTACTTTATAACCAGCATGTCCCAACTCAGCGCCCCTGCTTCCCTTCCCAGTAAACGAACTCCCCTTCCTGCCACGCAGCCCCCAAGTCCTCCCCTTAGCTGCTTCAGATTCTCCAGTAAAGTTTGCAAGGAATCGGCTTTTGGAGAAAAGTTTCCTAGGCAGGCTGCAGGCAGGAGTAGCTTGGTGGACAGCGAGGGAGGGAGCTACTATGTAGATTTAGTTCGCTTGGTCAGCTCAGCTCCTTAAGTTTCCAGTCTGGAGGTTCCTGCGAGTGTTTGCAATTTAACAAGCCACTTGATCCGCTGATGTTTTCCGGAGCGGTGGGAACATGCAAGAGGGAAAGAAGGCGAGCAGTGGCTTGAACAAAGCAGAGCTGGTTAGTCCCACCTCTCTGCATTCCTCCTCCTCTCCCTCTTCCCTCCCTCCTTCCCTCCTCCAACTCTTTTGCCACAGAGCTTCACGATGCAACGTTTCAGTTCTTTACCAAACAAAGCAAATCCTTACCTGTCCCCAGGGCGCATGTTTTGTGGCGTGGGGTTGGGAACGGGGCGCGTGCGAGAGAGAAAGAGAGAGATCTAGAGCAGCCTGGATTTGGAGGCGCAACTCTCTCCGAGCTGGAATCTTCCTTCTCTCCTCCCACCCAGGAAATTCAACACCATCCAGCAAAGCGCTGGTTCCCCACAGCGACGAATCGCCTCGGCCTAAATGCACAACATCAGGCTGAAGCGGGAGAAAGCAGCTCCAGGGCTTTGAGCGCAGAGAGCTGCTCCCTCGAGGATGGGGGGGGGGGGGAATCGCTGCGAGGCCGTCCCCAAAGCCAAGCCGTTGCTGTAGTAACTTCTAATAACACCCTACCTGATTTCCCTTTCCCTTGTTTGGCTTTGCTAACGCGGAAAGAGGGAGGATCAGGTAATAAAAGTGCATTAGACTCAGAGCATCGATGCTCAGGGGGTTATTAAGCTGCTGTATGTTTGATAACAAAGCTGCCTCCCCGTGGCTATAATTGTACCCGAACATGTAACTGCAGGTGAGGAGGCTGGGCTCACCCGGTTATGCCAATTAAGGACGGGCAAATCTGTCAACATGGGTTTCTCTTTAGCTTACTCGTTTTCCAGTCTTCAGTTCAGTTTGCCACTTTCCCACAACAGTTTGCAATGATTATTATTTTTAAAGTCCTCAAGGTAATTGATCAGCATTCTGGCATGGATTTCTCCTGATTAAGGACACCTTTTCTGCTATGATTTTGCCTAATACAGTTGGTACCTTGGTTACATACGCTTCAGGTAACATACACTTCAGGTTACAGACTCCCGCGAACCCAGAACAGTACCTCTGGTTAAGAACTTTGCTTCAGGATGAGAACAGAAATCGCTACGGCAGCAGCGGGAGGCCCCATTAGCTAAAGTGGTACCTCAGGTTAAGTACAGTTCCAAGTTAAGAACGGACCTCCGGAACAAATTAAGTACTTAACCCGAGGCACCACTGTACTAGGGTAAAGCTTGCATCAAAATGCATATGCTGGAGAAAACAACATGAACAAATGCATTGCATTAGCAAACAATCAGCTGCCATTAGGCTTGAAAACAACCTTCCTTTCGCACAAATAGAAGGCTGTTCCCAAGCCTAACTGCCATGCAGGGAATGACAGTTTGAAGTGGAGCAGGGATGTAGCATGCAAGGATGGGGTGGTTATTCCTTCCCACCCCAGCTGAGGGAAAAACATTCCATTGACTCCCATAAAAGGTTGTTTTTTCCTGCCTAATTGCTATGGGGATGGGCGGAAAGCAGGGGATGCTATGAGTTTTTGGAGGATGTCTCACTGGCCACATCAAGCCCACAGACTGCCAATTTCTTGGCCCTGCTTTGTGTACATCACAACAATGATGCCACAATGTCAGAGTGTGGTGAGACTTGTTTAGTAACACCAACACGTTCTTCTGCCTCATAGCTGGCTGCTGTCAAGAAAAGGGACAAAAATTTCCACTGAAAGATAAAGCAGTTCCCAAATTTCCCAGTTCTTTGAATCCATTTATTTCCTTTCTGCAGTGATAAACAATAAATGGTTCGGCCAATTTTATGCAACCACCTAGGGCA